ATATACTCGCAATGAGAACATTCCGTCTCAATGAGTGCTGCTTCAGCGTGGGCGGCGCCCAAGCATGAAACACACTCGCCGTGACCGTCAGCGGCGTGCGGGGGGGCCCTGCACGAGCGACAGTAATGGCGTGGCATTTGAAACAACACCGAAAATTTGCTCTTTTATGTCGCCGGTGACCGTCGCTGCTGCAGCGCAAGGGCGGCATGAAGCAGCGAGAATGGCCGAGCAGGAAGGGGTCTCTCGATCCGCTGTGAGGCTTGATCACGGGCGAAGGCTTCGTAGTCTCGTAGAGCGAAGATCTAGTAGTCGTCGCTGAAGGAGAATAATCTGAGGATCCTATGGCGATGTGCCGCTTATATAGCCAGATGACCCCGCCCATTCTGGCGGGCTTTGGCGGGCTTTACCGAGCGCTGCCGAGCCATTGGTTCGTTTTTTATTCACTGCATGAACCAATGGCCGTGCAGTTACACTGCGTTATTGAAAGGCTTCAGTCATCGGAGAAAAGGGTGTTTTCCCCCAAAGCGTCTTAAATTGACGCAGTACAAGTGAAGTATCGATAGGGAACTACTTTTAAGTCAGGCTCTTAAGAAAAGAGCTTTTGTTAAATTGAGATTATTGTAAAATGTTGCTTAATTGTTATGTCCTAATCATGAGAAAATTGTAATGACAAACAAAGTTAATGGCAAACCAAGTCCGAAAATAATAATGCGTTGCATCTTTCCCTTTTATGCAATGAAGTGGCATTTAATTGAAACAAATACAGCACATTTAAAGCAAAACATTTCATAAAAATAATGTAAATACCATGTAAAAGATAAAAAGTAGATTGTTTAAAAAGAAGTCAATCAGGACACTTTCTAGTTGTCAAACTGAATGTGATGAACTATGCAGGAACGCATTGCATGTGTGAACTGAAAAGTGACTACATTATATACAAAATTACTTGGGACCAGTACTGCAAAAATGCTTCTTACCTATTTTTTCTACCAAATAATTTTTAAGGCCACTGTAGTTGACTAGATCTACAGCTTTGAAATATTACTGAAGGATGAATAATTTCCTTCATAACAGACAGGGTGGCGATATAGTGGCCTAAAGTCAAGATGTAAGAGTGAATGGCATGTGGACCCAGCTGTGCGTTCTGTTTCAAATTCCCCATCTGACTAGTGGACAGACACGCACAGACTCTGACGCTCGCCCATTTAGGTCCTCTGGGTGTAAGTTTACTTCAACATACTGTCACTTCTCTGGAACCAGTTTGCTGGGGCTCCAGGGACTCCCAGTGCCTGTCAGAACAACTTCCTCTCTTCCCGTATCTTTGAAGGTCACTGGTCTGACAGCGTGAGCCCAAGTGCCAATGGACATTCTTCTCTGCTAGCTCGAAATTCTGCAGCCTGGCTTCTTAAAATGTGTCAGTCTGTTTGGATGTGCCCCTCTGCCAGCACTGCTTTAGAAGAGACACGTTGTTTGTATCTATGTGGACTGGGTTTTTAGTTTATGTTTGTGAAGGCAGCTGGCATTAGTGAGCAGAATCTTTGTTTCTTGCTGTAGTTGATCCTGCAGTAGTAAACTT